TCATTATAATCCGTAATTATGTCCCCACTGGATGCAACAAATGGCCGGACGGACAGGGCATCACAATATGGTAGGGGCATAACATTTCCGTTACACGCTTGAGGTATTCGGCCAATCACAACGCACTGGATAGCTGGCCAATCAGAGCACACCTTGCTTTTCAGATCGATGAGCTTTGTAAAAATGTACGCGTTTCAGAAAGGCGGGGCATAGAGGAGAAACAATAATGTACAGTATGTGGAAAATAATGTGTTTTTTGAACCTTAAACCGCATAAACACATTTCATTGCACCAAATACACAAAATAATGTTATTTTTAGCAGCATCATATGACCCCTTTAAAGTTCACGTGTGTATTTTAAATGTTAAAATAAAAATATATATTCAGGTAATTTGTAAATTAATTTTTGCTTATGATGCCATTGTGCTAATATCAAATATGTGTTTGTGGCAGTTCCCACTGGGTCAGCTACGCATTCGAGAAGCACGGGTGGAAGAAGTGGACAGGTCATGTGACTCTGATGAGGATTATGAAGCAGGTGGGCGGGGCTTCCTCTCCTCTCACTTCACGTTAGTGGTCCATCCCAAAGAGCAAAGCCCCACCTACCTGCTTGTCGGGACTAAACAAGAAAAGGTACAACTTATACCACAAACACCATCTGAATTTTGCCTAACATTTACCTAAGTGCTGCTTATATATATATATATATATATATATATTACAATATGTAAAATACTGCATTCATATGCAAATCAGTTCTCTATGAAGGTATGTGATTACCATTGTTACCAGTGTTGTTAAGCTACAGACACTTTGTTATGATGGCAACATGGACATTTAAACAGATCAACTTGTCAAGAACAATATACCATAAATAAAACCAGAAAATATACACCACTGTTCAAAAGTTTGTGGTTGGTAAGATTTTTTAATGTTTTTGAAAGAAGTATCTTATGCTCACCAGGGCTACATTTATGTGATCAATGTATAAACAAAAATGTTGTGAAATATTAGTACAATTAAAATGAATGGTTTTCTATTTTATTATATTTTAAAATGTAATTTATCCTTGTGATGGCAAAGCAGAATTTTCAGCATCATTACAGTCTTCAGTGTCACATGATCTTTCAGAAATCATTCTAATATTCTGATTTGCTGCTCAAGAAACATTTTATTATTATCACAGTTGAAAACAGCTGTGCTGCTTAATATTTTTTGTGGAAACATGCTACATTTTTACAAGATTATTTGTTGAACAGAAACTTCAAAAGAACAGAATGTTGCCTAGTCTGCACAGAAGTCTGTGAATCAAAGGAAACATCTAAATGAACTAAAATTCTAAATTGTCATGCTACACTGCTACTCTATAGCATATTAGTGAAAAAGCTACATCAGTTCTTTTAGCATTATTTCTATACTAATATTGTATTTTTTTTATATTTTCAGTTTTCATTTTAATTTTAGTTTAGTAATTTTATAGGCTTTTGTCATTTGTTTTAAATATTTATATTTAGCTTTAATTTATTTTTATTTCAATGTTAGTTTTAGTCATTTTAGTACTTGTTTTTAAACTCATCAGTTAGTTGCCAAAGCAGAATTTATCATATAACATCTAATATATTACTTCATATTTATATTATGATATTAAATGGGAACACAAACTAAATCATGGCTAACAATATAGAAAAAAAGCTACTCTAAACTGAAGCAGAAACTGTGATTTTTTTTTTCAGTGCACACCATGCTGATATCAAAATAGCAGGCTGATGACCGTTATAATTTGAATACACATAATGCAATGGTAAATTACATAAATTGCTGAAATTAAATGAGCACGGCGTACGCTAGTGTTCAAAAGTTTGGGGTCAATAGTTAATGGGGTCAGTAAATATTAGTAAAAATATTAAACTGCACAACTGTTTTCAAAATGGATAGCAATAAGAAATGTTTCCTGAAATACCAAATCAGCATATTAGAATGATTTATGAAGAATCATTTGACACTGAAGACGTTAGTAATGGCTGCTGACTATAACAGAGAATAGAAATGAAGAAGTTATTTTAAATTCTAAAAGTATTTTACCATATTACTTTTTGTACTGTATTTTTGATCAAATAAATGCAGCCTTGCTTACCAACCTCAAACTATTGAACGGTAGTGTGTAAGAACAACAAATAATTTGTTGTTCAGAGACCTAAAAACAGTCTCAATTTGAGTCAGAACAGAGACAGAACAATTAACAATTTTTTTCATTTGATTTTAAGTTTTAATAATTGTATTATGTGGTTATGTCATTTTTATTAGTTTTAGTTGTTTAACTGTTTTCAGTGTAAGTAATTGTAATACTTAAACTTACTTTATCTCAGTTGTCAACATTTCTTTAATTTTTACGTTTTTCCATCTAATATTTATTTTTCATTTCATTTCAACTTTCAGTTACCAAAAACATAAATAGTTTTAGTTAACAATAACAACACTGCTCATAATGTATTTCGATGAATATCTAAATATCATAAGTCATGCTCAGCAGAGGAAAAATAATAGACCCGCTGTTTTGTCATTTGTGGGTGAAACCTTGATGTGAATTTTTATAAAGGATAAGTTCCCTTTCATGGGAACTTCGAACTGCGTCCTCTAGGGGTCGCTATGGGGAACGCCTCGTCGTGACTCGTATCTGAAGCATACATTGAAAAAACACCAACTCGTTGGCCGGCGACAGCCATGACGTCACTACCGGTGCGACTACAGTATAAATCGGTGCCGGGAGCTACACATCGTTCTCTTCTTCGTCTTCATTGACTGTTCTGTTTGAAGCGTGCATTTTCAAGGAAAAAGTAAGAGCTATCTATTAATATTATGGCGAGCACTAGTAGAGCATTTAGAAGGTGTGTGCATCCGTGTCAGCGCTATTTGACACCAGATGACACACACGATCTATGTGTTGTTTGCTTGGGCGAGGAGCACGCACGCGATGTCCTCGAGGGGGCAATCTGCGTGCATTGCGAGTTTTTTCCAATGAAAAAACTCATCGACGTTCGTCTCGACGAACGTTATCTTTCTGGCCATAACCCTCCAGCTCAGGTGAGTCTTCCTTTCCTTCCTGATCTCCATACTGAGATCGAGAAGGAATGGAAGAAGCCGTTTTCCTCACGCATCCATCGGTTTCAGCATACCAGTTATGCGAATATCGAGGCGGTGCGCGAGTCATGGCTGTCGCCGGCCAACGAGTTGGTGTTTTTTCAATGTATGCTTCAGACACGGGTCACGACGAGGCGTTCCCCCCATAGCGACCCCTAGAGGACGCAGTTCGAAGTTCCCATGAAAGGGAACCATGGTTACATAAGTAACCCGAGACGATTTTTTTGTTGTTGTTGTGAATGACTAGGTTGTTTTGTAACAATTTGGTTGAGTGAATGATTTAACGACTTAAACACACAAAAAAACAGTCATTTGATGTCACCTACTGGCTTAACCATGTAATATTCACTTAATTTTGCCCCATATCACTCATTTGTAAAGCTACATGTAAATAATGTGAAAATAGGGCTGGATGATATGCCCAAAATTTATATCACGATATATTTTTTAATTTCGGTCAATACGATATAATTCCGATATCGATATGAACACTCTTAAAAAAAGCCTTGTAAAAACTGCCAAGAACGCCCACAACAGATGTCTGTGCATACAAACTTATGAAAAATGAATTTGCCAAGTCTATGACACCTCATATAAAACCATATAATACTGAAATAGAAATATTTTGTAACATTATACATTTCTTTATCATCACTTTTGATCAATTTAAAGCATCCTTGCTAAATAAAAGTATTAATTTCTATCATTTCTTTCCAAAAAGAAAAAGAAATCATACTGACTCCAAGCTTTTGAATGGTATAGTGTATAATATTACAAAAGCTTTTTATTTCAGATAAATGCTGATCTTTGGATCTTTCTGTTCATCAAAGAATCCTGAAAAAAAAATACTCAACTGTATATTGATAATCAGCATATTAGAATGATTTCTGAAGGATCATGTGACACTGAAGACTGGAGTAGGCCTAATGATGCTGAAAACCTTTGACTGGTAATGTAGGGTGGCTGATTAATGTTATAGATTGAAACAAATGTGCCTCAGCCAGGATAAAGAATATGAAAAGTGCTCTGAGTTGCTGCAGAAAAAAAAGAGCAACAACAAAAACATGTTGCTGGAGACGGGCTTATTGAAAATTGAAAAACTCATTCTCTGCCAGCAGGAGGCGCTTTTAGAGTGATAAAACTAGCGGTTTCGGCTGTAATTAAAGCAGCTCCACTCATGAACGCTACTTTATCAGATAAAATGAAAATGTCATCGAAACTTTTCTGAAGACAGTCATCAGATACATTCATATAAAACACCCGCGCCACGTTTTGATTTTGAAACGTGCAGTGCTCATGTTTATTCAACGAAGTCAAACGGCACAAATAAATCAATGTATGGGAAACACTGGTAATGTATATCGAAATATCGAAATAAAGAGCTACAACAAAAACATGTTGCTGGAGACGGGCTTATTGAAAATTGAAAAACTCATTCTCTGCCAGCAGGAGGCGCTTTTAGAGTGATAAAACTAGCGGTTTCGGCTGTAATTAAAGCAGCTCCACTCATGAACGCTACTTTATCAGATAAAATGAAAATGTCATCGAAACTTTTCTGAAGACAGTCATCAGATACATTCATATAAAACACCCGCGCCACGTTTTGATTTTGAAACGTGCAGTGCTCATGTTTATTCAACGAAGTCAAACGCCACAAATAAATCAATGTATGGGAAACTGGTAATGTATATCGAAATATCGGAAATGTGTTTAAAAACCATATCACCGTTATTGAAAAAAATTATATCGCGATACATATTGATATTGAATTATTGTCCAGCCCTATGTGAAAAGGGGTTAAGTAGGGTTTGATACAGTTATCCATTATGCTACAAATGTAGTTAGTAGGATCACTACTTCTAGTTAATGACTCCTCAACAAGTGGCTCTCAGCACTTTGTGTGGGAAACGGTACTAGCCCTGTAACGTCTCATTTTGAGGACAGGCCTAAACATTTCATTCTGAGTTCAAAGAGGATCGCTGACAGTGTTTGGAGAGATGGTCTCATTCCAGTTGCTCGTAGTTTCTCCGCAGGCTCCTGTTTTCAATTGAGAAACCTGTTCTCCAGAGGTTTAAAGATATTATGCCCTATTGACTGTTCAATGGCGTGTCCTCGAGAGCTAGCATCATGAGCAGCCCTCGGTGCTCTTTGAAGATCAGAGGGGCTTTTTAGGTAGTCATTTGATACTGAATGAAAAGGCCTCCCACTCTAAAGTAATGAATGGGGGGTTGACAGCTACATCCTGACTTGATTTAATTTGCATTGTAAGAATTGCTGTAAGAACAGAAACAGAATTCTAATAAGACAGTAAAGCATGTTGTTGCATGTGCTGTCCTACGGCCACAGAAGCAGCTGTGTGTGGTAACATGTTGTGTGAGGAGTTCGCCATCTGCTGGTTGTTCGGTTCTCATCACAGACAGTAGTGCCATGTATCCCAATCTCATTTGGTCTCTCTCCCAACACTTTTCTGTCCACTAATAAAGAAACTTTGGTAACACTTTACTTGAAGGGGTGTGCATAAGACTGACATGACACCTTCATAATCATGACATGACACATGTCATGAATATGAAGGAGGTTTTATGCATGTTTATGACAACTGTCATTAAGTGTAGTCATTTGATACTGAATGAAAAGGCCTCCCACTCTAAAGTAATGAATGGGGGGTTGACAGCTACATCCTGACTTGATTTAATTTGCATTGTAAGAATTGCTGTAAGAACAGAAACAGAATTCTAATAAGACAGTAAAGCATGTTGTTGCATGCGCTGTCCTACGGCCACAGAAGCAGCTGTGTGCGGTGACATGTTGTGTGAGGAGTTCGCCGTCTGCTGGTTGTTCGGTTCTCATCACAGACAGTAGTGCCATATATCCCAATCTCATTTGGTCTCTCTCCCAACACTTTTCTGTCCGCTAATAAAGAAACTTTTATACCAATTTCAAAGAAAACAAATTGTTTTAATGGCTAATAAAATGTCATGTGGTGTAACTACCAAGTAAAAAGTATTATCATATTTTTCTTACATTTTGGATACATGAGAGAACACATCTAAATTGAAATAAATCTAAGTATGTCAAGTAAAATACAATAACATAAAATAAAATAATACATTTAAATATATAATTACATTTATTATAAATCTAAAGTTTATGCATGTTTATGACAACTGTCATTAAGTGTCATTCGCTCAGTTATGTCATTTTTAATGCAAATATGACATTATTTGACCTAACCCTAACCTAACCCTACCCCTACCCTTACCCCTAACCATAGCCCATAACAAAGACATCTCAAACAATGTCATCTTTGCATTAAAAATTACAGAACTGAGCGAATGACACTTAATGACAGTTGTCATAAACATGCATAAAAACCCTTCATATTCATGACATGTGTCATGTCATGATTATGTAGGTGTCATGTCATGATTATGAAGGTGTCATGTCAGTCTTATGCACACCCCTTCAAGTAAAGTGTAACCGAAACTTTTATACCAATTTCAAAGAAAACAAAATTTTTAATGGCTAATAAAATGTCATGTGGTGTAACTACCAAGTAAAAAGTATTATCATATTTTTCTTACATTTTGGATACATGAGAGAACACATCTAAATTGAAATAAATCTATGTATGTCAAGTAAAATACAATAACATAAAATAAAATAATACATTTAAATATATAATTACATTTATTATAAATCTAAAGTTTATTTATTTATTTAAATTACCCCACATTACATTTTACAACCTGAACTAACTTTGCCTGGTCATAAAAAGGTCCAGTTATCTGACATTGGACTATTTTTATGAATTGCATTTATGTATAAATTAATAAATAGGGCAAAAAACTGAGTGTTGTGTTTGACCCACACACTTTTTTTTGTCCCCCTGGTAGTCATGCCAGCTGTTCATCAATGTGCTGGTGGAGTCTCCCTCCATCGACTACCACACCTCGCTGGCCCAGAATGCACTGCAGGTGTGCCTAACACATCCAGAGCTGCAGAATGAGATTTATTGTCAGCTGATCAAACAGACCAACTGCCGCACTCCTCACAACTACGCCCTCACGCAGGTTCGTGTCATATTTGTTCACACACAAAATTACCCCACATTACATTTTACAACCTGAACTAACTTTGCCTGGTCATAAAAAGGTCCAGTTATCTGACATTGGACTATTTTTATGAATTGCATTTATGTATAAATTAATAAATAGGGCAAAAAACTGAGTGTTGTGTTTGACCCACACACTTTTTTTTGTCCCCCTGGTAGTCATGCCAGCTGTTCATCAATGTGCTGGTGGAGTCTCCCTCCATCGACTACCACACCTCGCTGGCCCAGAATGCACTGCAGGTGTGCCTAACACATCCAGAGCTGCAGAATGAGATTTATTGTCAGCTGATCAAACAGACCAACTGCCGCACTCCTCACAACTACGCCCTCACACAGGTTCGTGTCACACACTCACACACTACACCGTATCGTCATGTGAAGTGTGCTATATCTCTATATCTCTCTGCTCTACTCTTTCTTTCTCAGTGCTGGCAGCTGTTGTCATTGTGTGTAGCTCTCTTCCTGCCTCAGCATCATTTCCTGTGGTACCTGAGACAGTACCTGCAGCAGAACGCAGATCCCAGGTCACTGGCCACACGCTCACTCCATGAAGTACAATGTGTTGTACATGTTAAATAAATCCCAATATATTCACACTCAGACTGATTCTTCCTCACTACCCTAAATCTAAATATAGTTTTGAGTATATAGTTATAAATCTGACTGTATAGTTGTAAACTCAAATATACAGTATATTTAAATCTGAATATATTGTTTGTTATATATTTTATAAATACAAATGATAAATACATAACTTCTGGATTATTCCGTATTTTTAACTACTGGATATTTTAAGAATATACATTTTATACATTCAGATTCAAGTTTAGATTTAAAACTATACACCACCGCTCAAATCTAAAGAAATATTTTTTTAATGTGTTTGAAAGGAGTCTCTTCTGCTCATCAAGGCTGCATTTATTTGAGCAAAAAACTGTAATAGTGTGAAGTATTATTAATACCTAAAACAGCTGTTTTCTATTTTGGTTGTTAAATGTATTTAAAAATGTATTTTTTTCTTGTAGCAAAGATGAATTTTCAGCAGCCAAACAGTGTCACATGATTCGTCAGAATCATTCTTATAATCATCAGATCATTCTAATTTGAAAAGCATTTATTTGAAAACTTTTGTAAGTTGTAACTGTAATTTTTGATTAATTTCATGATGAATCCTTTCTGAATAAAAATATTAATTTCTTACCAAAAAAACAAAAACAACAACAACAAAGAAAAAACCTTACAGTATGGTAGTGCATATTTGGATTTACTATATTTGGATATATTTACTACATTTGGATTAACTATATATTCAGATTTACATTTGTATTTTCAAATTTATAAATATATATTTTGATTTACAACTATACATTCAAATTTTACATAAGTATTTCGTGTTTGGCCTTCTATAATTTAAGTATATCATATGTAGTATGTCTTAATTGATTAATTACATTTAAAACAACAGTCAAAAAAGGCTACAAAACTAAGAAATCAAAAAATTCATTAAGAGTTTTGATACGTTTACTGCATTTAGACTTATATACGGATACGAATAAGGGTTTTTGCCTTGATGCCTCATGTAATTGAATTTGAAAGCCTGTGTTTATGTGCACGCCCACAGGACTGAAGTGGGGAAGTATGCTGTGTACTGCCAGCGCTCAGTAGAGAGAACCTTACAGAATGGAGAGAGAGAGGCAAAGCCTTCACGAATGGAAATTCTTTCTATTCTGCTGAGAAACCCCTACCATCACTCACTCCCCTTCAGCATACCTGTTCACTTCATGAACAACACTTATGAGGTACACACAAACACTTTCTGTTCCCATTGATCTGGCCCTTACATTAATCCTTATAAAGCCCACTGTATCATACTTGATATGCAAATTTCTAAGGCCCGTAAATTACCAACATGATCAACTGAAAAACCTGCAGTACTCAATCTACTGCATGCCTTCTGCCCTCTGATTAATAGTTTATACTTTTTAGCAAGTAAAAGGTATTTTATTGTAATTGTAAAAACGTCCCCCGTCAGGTTGAGGTACACATCTTTTTATGTAAAGTCTTTACTGTTTGTTATAGTAAACATAACTTTATTGTTAGTAATATTTCAAGATGAACATTTACTGGACTGAAGCATCTTAATTTTACTTGATTAGCCATCTTTTTTTTTAATTTTATTATTATTTTTTTTAGAAAAATCATGTTAAAGCATGAATATCAAATATGATCAGGCTTTTGTTTATTTGCACATCTCTCAATCATCATTGTATTGCATTGCATTGTATGTTTTGCCCCCCACAATTAAAACTACATATCTTTGATCATAAATCTAAGCATTTAATATCTTGCTAAGACATTATTAGGAGATATAGAGTGATATTTATATGCGTTTTATTTAAGTAGTTTGCTGTATTATTATAAAAAACACATCGATTCCCATTACAAGCTACCAGAATTTCATCTAACTTTTTGGCCATATTAATAAAAACAATTCCACCAAATTGCTTATTTTTTTTGATGAATTTGGGCCTCTGAATAATACAGAGGTGGTTTTTTCCTCCTCAAGTATAAGCTTCATATTCTCATATATCAGAATATGTGAACCATAAAAGCCTGATGTATCAAATATGATACTCAACAAAAATGCAATAGCATTTTTAATAGCATTAAGGTTCAATATACTGCTCCATTTCAATATATTGCTTACACTTGGTATTAAGATGCATGCAGGATGGATGAGTGTTTACACTACACATACAGTGTTGTCACATGCATTTTTGAATATGTCCATATGTGGTTTCAGTGATTTGATCACAACTTGTTTTAGACCCCATTTACACATGTATTCAGCATTGACCACTTATGATCCGGTCACAAAAAATGGATGCTAGGTGTAAACAGGGTCTCTGATGCATGACATGGAATGCATGAGTGTCAACAGTTTTACTATAGCAGCACAGGCTTTCAGAACGCTGCTGCCTCTAATCTTTCTCCATCTCTATAGGTCGTAGGTTTTGATGGTTCCACCACAGTGGAGGAGTTCCTGAACACAGTCAACCAGAGGGCAGGCATGAGGAAACCACAGATTTCAGGCTTCGCACTCTTCACTGATGACCCCTCTGGAAAAGATCTGGATCACTGCCTGCAGCCCAGCAATAAAGTATAATATGAACACTGAATATCAGAGCTTTTACAAAGTACATAAAACAGTTTAGTCTATATATATTGTGCTGCGAGAATATTAAAGGAATGTTTTTTAATCTTCTGGTGCAGATTTGTGATGTGATCTCAAAGTGGGAACAGGCACTGAAAGAACTTCATCCTGGAAAATATGAAGGAACACGGATTGTCCGTCTCACTTATAAAAGCAGGTATGTTTGAAAAACTGAGGTCTCGTACACGCAATATCTATCAAAATCAAGTATTAAGAATGTTTTTATCAATAGATTAATAATGTCAGGTTTTTAAAAGCAGTCAATCTTCCTTGTAGGCTGTGTTTCAGAGCTCAGGCTAAGGGGGAGACTGAGCGAGAGCGCCTCCTGCTGGCATATCAAGTAAATGAAGAGGTACAACAAGGGCACTTCCCTGTCAGTAAGGAGCTGGGCCTGGAGGTGGCTGCGCTGATGGCACAGGTGTGTGTTAATGTGGATCAAGTGTTTGAGAGTAAGTGTACTTGAAGTGGTGGTGGATCACAAATACACCTCAATCACATTTATCTTTTAGGTCGACCATGGTGACCTAGACCGCCCAGCAATCTCTTCCATTGGTTCTTCTCAGCCGAAGACCCAACAGGTCCTTCTGCAGGTACTGGAGCGTTTTTATCCTAAACGCTACAAGCAGGAATGCAGCATGGAGCAGCTCAGGTAAATTCGTATTTATTTAAATTAAGTACATTATAATCACTTCATGTTCATGTTTATAATGTGTATTATATTATATTATGTATAACTCATATAATTTCCGACAAAGTCTGAAATTTTTCTTGTGTGTCAGTATGTTCATTCACATTTATTACCATACTACCAGATCTTTACAATCTCATAACAAAATACAAAATTTCACAATAAATAAAATAAATATTTAAATAAATAACAAAATGTTTGTGGAGTTTTGATTGATTTATTTTTTTGCCTAACTCAATTCTAGGGCATGTAATTATTATTATTCATTATTATGTATGATATTATTATTAATAATAATAATTATTATGTAATTATGTATTATCATTTTAATATATTAGTATGTCGTTTAGTATAATTACAGGTATATAATACATTATAATTAAATAGTAAATAGAATACTTTATGGTAGCACTTATAGCCTTCATGTAGAATGCTTTATAAACATATTCATAATGTATGTTAAAATGCTTTACATCATTTCATAAGAAATAATAACCAAGGTTAAAATGCATCATAATATTTGAAGGGTTGTTTGTCATGTTTTTTAATGCATTATACTTTCTAAAGGTGTAACAACAAATAGAAAAGTATTATAACTGTGATTACAATTATTCATGAGATCACACAATGCATTATACGACTCATTATAAGGCATAATTAATGCAATAAAACTACTTTTATAATACATTATGTATAAAGGCCTTAAGTAAAGTGTTACCTAATTTATCTATACACACACGCACACATATACAGCTATTTAGAATAATTAACATTGATATTTGAGCACAGAATGCCCCATTTACCAAACAAAATATAAAAATAATGTACACATTTATTATTAATTATATAAAAAAATATGTATACATTTATTTTACATTTGTAATCCACTTTTAGCATTTAATTATATATTGTTAGTATAAATATAATTTTTGAATATATAACGTTTTTAAATAATTTATAATATACTATTGTTTAGGTTTAATTTATAATAATGTTTGCCCACAGAATGCCTGATTTACCATTTACCAATGCCCAATTTACCTATTTTACCATGTTATATAATACTTTTCTTTATTAACTGTAATATGATGTTTACCGTTTTTTTTTTTTTTTTAAACGGCATGAAAACTAAAATGTTCACTATATTGAACTTTATACAAACACTTTACTTATTTCATTTAATCACAACTTTGTCCCACAGGGAACTCGCTGAGCGTTTGGCCACTAAGTGGTCTGTCCTTCATGCGTGCACAGCCTCCGAATGTGTAAGAATCTACCTGACCGTGGCCCGCAAGTGGCCTCTGTTTGGGGCCAAGCTGTTCAGTGCCAAGGTAAGTTCAGATGTACAGTAGATAAGGTATCAGTATTCTTAGCCACTGGCAACATTGATTGCTATTTTCTACACAAACTTGACCACTTAAAAGGATTTTCAGATGTACCTGATGGGGCTGTTAAAACACGGCAGAATATCTCTTTTTACTCCCACTCTGTTGTTGTGCAGCCATTGCCTCCCTCTTCACTGGAGCAAACTCGAGTGTGGCTGGCTGTTAATGAGGATGGGCTGAGTGTTCTGGACTATACAATGGTGAGTGAATGTGGATACTTGCTCTAGTTATAGTTTCAGAAAGTAAGACTGCATTAAAGGAATATTACGGGTCATTTATAACTTAAGCTCTTAAGTGTGCTGTTGATTGCCACAGAAAATAATTTAGACTCCCTGAGGTTGTAAAAACAAATGAAAAACATGCTTACACTAAAGCCTTCTAATGAAAGCCTACAAGTCAAGTGTGCAGCACCACAAATATAAAATTATAACACAGCTTTGAGAATGTAACAGTTACAAGGGATGTGATGTAACTGTAAAGTACCTCTGTAAATATTTATGGATCTGTAAAGTACATAGCTGATTCCAGGGAAATGTTAGGTTAAATAATTTTTGTAAATACTGTTTTGACAGTAGAAATTAGCTGATCGCGACTAATACATCATATAGACAATTTTTAACAGCATTTTAAATTATTTTACCACAATCTAATTAATATTCAAAAGCCTTCACAGTTCCATGACATCCCCACCATTTTTTAAAACATCAGTTGCACATAACCAGATGTTTATAAAGTAGTTTCACCTCAAAATAACAATTTAAGATAACCATTTAAGAAAAATATGAGCTTCATATCTCTGCTTTAAAACCTCTGGTCCCACAAGCCTGTTGGCCTTCCATTGTCATTCTCTAGGCTTCACGAACTAAATAATATCTATAATATCATTCCTGCTTATAGTTTGCTTGTTTGAAAAGCTGTAGTCCTGATATCTTGCCCATTTGGCTGTATTCTCACTTGGAGAGGTCTGGCTGTTTTGGGAAAGAATAAACAGGGTCCGGCAGACTCTGTAATTTTCTGTTTTCTATTTTTATGTCTTTTTGGGGGAGGGGAAAGAACAAAGGGAACAGAAAACCTCACATTTTGCAGAAAAGATACATTAAAAATAGTAATATTGTGATAGATTATTACAATTATTACATCTGTTTTGTATTTTAATATATTTTAAAATGTCATTATTGTGTAATGTGATTGTCATTCGGAAATAATTTGAATATGCTGATTTGCATACTCAATAAACATTTCTTATTATCAATGTTGAAAACAGTTGAGGTGCTAAATATTTTTGTGGAAACCATGATACGTTTTTTTTTTTTTGTTCTCCAGAATAGAAAGTTTTAACAATATAAAAGTATTTATCTTCACTTTTACTGGATCAATTTGATCTAAATAAAAGCAAGGATGCATTACATAAAAAAAAAAACTTATTTGAATCCCAAACTTTTGAACAGTAGTGTTTATATTCGTTTTTGTAGAGTTGTAAGAGACTGAAAACATCTCAATGTATGTGCTCTAAAACTAAAAATAAGATGAGATAAGATTTTAGAGAGAGAGAGAGCAAACTGTAACCCGTCCTACATTAATTAAACAATTAGTAACAAATACAATTAGCAACAATTAGTATATACCTCGGTGTAATGCTGGACAATAAACTTGGGACGCATGGACTGATTATGTAAGCAAAAAGCTTCAATAGAGAATGTATTTCTTAAAGAAATTACTTTCTTTTAATGTCCATAGCAGAATGCTTTTGATGTTTTATGGGGCTTTTATTGAAAGCATTATGACATTTTGTGTGATTTATCGGTATGGTAATGCTTCCGAGGCTCAGAAGAGGTCATTGGGGAAACTGGTAACAATAGCAAGTAAATTATTAGGGATAAAGTTACAGAGCATAGAGAGTATATATAAAGAAAGACTGTTGAATAAGGCTAACATCATTGTGAATGATAAGAGGCATCCTTTATCTTATACTTTTGAATTGTTACCATCTGGCCGACGATATTGTGTTCCCAGATGCTCAAAGAACAGGTCAAAATGATCTTTTATTCCGCAAGCAATTCAATTCTTATTCCTCTCGTGGTAACTGATGGTCAGCAAGGGTCAGCAGTTATTTTAAATTAGATTTATTAGTATTAAATTATTGTTTACATTCATATATGCCAAATGAGAATTGTTAAATATATGTGTGAGTGTATGCTGCAAACGTACTTTCCCTATGGGGATAAATAAATAAACTGAAACTGCTCTGCTTTTCTTTAGCACCCATTCGTCACACATCCATACCAGTCAGTGATCACCTTCGGAGGTTGCAAGGAAGATTTCATGTTAGTGGTCAGCCAGATTAAAGACCAGGCTTTGGGCAAGAAGACTGTGGATAAACTTTTATTTGCAATGGCTAAACCAAAGGTAAGACATGCTAATTCACAAAAGGTACAGTACAACACATTTTAACTGCATTTCCGAATGTGGTCAGTAAAGACAGAATTCTGATGATATGTTGTGCTTTTAACATTAACTTTTATTACCTATCTTAAAAATCTGATCTGAAGTGTGTGGGGGAGAAATCAGAGTTCAACTCCTGCACCCCCCCTCTGAAACCACTATCTGAAAGATATCTGATGCTAAAAACAGGTTTTTTAATGAGAGTTTCACTCATACAGTATTACATGATATATGAAGTGCTAATGAGCTCTACCGTGTTAGTCTGAGTGTGAGCTTTACTCGCATATCTGTGCTTTGTTGTGTCTTTTTTGGCCTGATACAGTAAGAGCAAGTTAAATGTTGAAATATTTGTCTACTAAAGACCTTCTGGTTCATTCTCTCTCTCTCTCTCTCTCTCTCTCTCTCTCTCTCACTCTCTCACTGCTGTAGATCCTGGAACTGACGCTCCTCATGGCTAGTTATATTAACTACTGGACCTCTAGCTTACCAGGGGCTGGAAACCAGACTCAAGGCTCAGCAGTGGGGCCTCATGGAGACAGAAAGCTCTGGGACATCGACAGCCGTCACTTCCCCTCAATGACATATACTACCAAAGGCCCCACTCTTCTTTAAAACCTCAGTCTCCGGGTGTCTGGGTTGGCAACCAATCACTTGGTCTGCAAACAAATAAAAACACATTTTGGGAAATATTTAGAGCATTTATTTTGGGATACAATTCAAGGATTTTGAAGTTTCAAACCATAAATTGCAAAAGTTATTTATTGTGTGAAACGGTCACTACTTGCACACTGTTCGTAGTCCAAATACAAGAAATAAACACATCACAAAGTGTTTTTTTTTAATGGAGACTCATAGAAAGCCACCCTGAGAAGATCACCCACAAAGTCAGAGCAGATCCAAGAGTATTTTATTCTTGAATGCAAAAAGTTTGGCGCTCATTTTTAAGGAATCAGAGCTTTTAAACTGGAAGTCCATTTAAAGGCACGGTTTGACTTTTTCATTTGTGCATAACATGGTTTTATTTTATTTCTGTCTTTGTTTGAATTTTTTAATGTTTAGTAAGTTAGTTAAAAGTTTTTTGTTTATATTGGTTCAGGACATTTCCACTGTTTAACGGTGCATGAATTAACCGTACCATCAGTCATTTGAAGTTTATATGGTGAATATCAGGATATGTAGAAACATTACACAGATCATCTCTAATACATCAGCACATTCTGCAGAAACTAGCTAACCAGTATACACAGGACAGTCTTATGTGTCTAGTGGTAGTGTAACGGGGTTGCGGAATTCTTCTCATCTATCCAAGCAGGAAATGACATGAAAATGTCATCAGCACTATGTGAAGTTATAGAGTTTGGGCTAAAAGTTTGTTTTCTCATCAGTTTCGTGCCATTTTCCATAGTACTACCAAACATAATGCTTAATCTGAGCCAAACTGTTCATTTTAACAAATGTAGTGACAAGTTTTAGGTTACACAGTAGTTGCAGAAAGGCACACGTTTACTTCATATTTGCGCGCTAGCCATCGCCTTTCCTCTTGTATAAAGAAATAAGAACTTAACGTCTCAACATCACGTTAATATGTGCAGGATCATATATTTCCGTGACGTTTGTAGCTTGAGAATGGTCATAGTTATATTGATATTATTATGACGTCATATTTTAATTCGATTTTTAAAATCATTAGGTCTTAGCTTATTTACCATAAAGTGCATGTTTTCAACCACAATTTTGTTTTCCATAATTCATAAAACTTAATAAATACAAGTGTTAACTACTTTGTACAATAAAAAAAAAATTTATTATCAAGAGTGTTTCAGAAACTGATAATTGACAAAGTAGGTAAAGACACACTGTAACTTTAATATGCCAGATCTTGAAAGATTGGAGGATGTACGGATGAGTTTTGAAAAAGAGCTGTAATAATGACTTGAATCATTCTATGAATCAAACCACTGCCTCTGTATTTTGAATATTTATTTTGCCTTTTTTTGAAACATTGCTGTTTTTAGTTTAACCAACTTGTTTTCCTTAGTCAGACTTAGTTCTTTTCTAGAAACCTTGAAGTGTTTCAAGTAGCTTAGAAATAATGCCACTTTTGTTATTGTTAAGATGTGGTAGTACAGACATTCAGAGGTGATGCTGGGAGAGCTTCACATTTTATGTGCATAGAAGAGGTTGTTGCAAATAAAAAAATGAATTGTTCTGGTCTTTTTGATTTTTAATTCTTGCAGTTCATTTCAAGGATAAGCTCAATTTGTTGACAACGTTATATTACCTTTATGCACAGTATGACTATTGTTAAATTCTTCGTTCATTTGTGTGTAAAATACTTCTCTATTCAATTATATTATCAAGAAATCCTTTTCATTTAGGCTTTCTGTGTGCCCTTAGCAATCATACAATTTACAGAACAGTTTGTTTAGATTTGCTTATTTAGATATGTTCTTATATTGCAGGAAAAAAAGATTAATAACTGAAACAGTTCACAGATTTGCTGGCCACCGTGTAGGTTTATAGACGGGGTGGGGTTTAGTCTGCTCTCTCACTCCAGGCAGGTCAAAGTGCTAATGGCATTTCCCTGCCAATAGTCTGCTATAAATTCACAATTCTAAAATTTAACGGGGGAAAAAATGTGTATGTTCTAAGCTAATACGGTAATATGCTCATTACTCTGCCAAGACTCTAAGCAAGTTGTAACATTGAATTAGGGAAAGCCTGCTTTTCATTGTTCCCTTCTGCACAGAAAAAAAAACAACAACAGCGCTGTGGCTCACTACATGATTAGAAGGAATCCCAGACACATTTTAAATGACAGCTTTTAGTTTATGAGACATTAGGTAAATTATTTTAACCTCCAAGTTCTGTTTTAAAACTTAAGAATTTAGTGTAAGAAAAAAAAAACAATTACATATATGAATGTCATTCATTAATTTGATTTCTTTACTGTTTAGAACTAACAGTCAATGCTTGAAAATTTCTGATATATTTTTGATATAGATTTATACATTTAAAAACTATATATATACAGTATATATATATATATATAGTTATAGTTATTATATATATATATAGATTAGCTCTATCTATCTATCTATCTATCTATCTATCTATCTATCTATCTATCTATCATCAGCTATTCTGTTTTTTTTTTGTTTTTTTTCTGACATGTTCTCTAAGCAAGTTGTAACATTGAATTAGGGAAAGCCTGCTTTTCATTGTTCCCTTCTGCACAGAAAAAAAAACAACAACAGCGCTGTGGCTCACTACATGATTAGAAGGAATCCCAGACACATTTTAAATGACAGCTTTTAGTTTATGAGACATTAGGTAAATTATTTTAACCTCCAAGTTCTGTTTTAAAACTTAAGAATTTAGTGTAAGAAAAAAAAAACAATTACATATATGAATGTCATTCATTAATTTGATTTCTTTACTGTTTAGAACTAACAGTCAATGCTTGAAAATTTCTGATATATTTTTGATATAGATTTATACATTTAAAAACTATATATATACAGTATATATATATATATATAGTTATAGTTATTATATATATATATAGATTAGCTCTATCTATCTATCTATCTATCTATCTATCTATCTATCTATCTATCTATCATCAGCTATTCTGTTTTTTTTTTGTTTTTTTTCTGACATGTTGGTGTTATATCTTTCACTTGGATGGTATAAGTCGCACTGAGTACAGCTGGATAAAACAAAAACTGTGTCCGTCCTCATTTCAGGCTGCAAAGCAACAAAATGTGATTTTTTGAAATGGGGGCGATTCTTTTCCATGCCCACTGTATGTATGTGTGTAGGCTATATATATATATATAATTAATGTAAATATTTTTAACATTGTAATAGATGGTGGAAAATATCCAACAAAGTTGTATTTAGTCTACGTTGTATTAGATTGTAAAGAAAGCGAATCTCGTTACAAGTCATTGTACAGTAGCAATATTAAAACTATTTTAAACTATTTTAAAGTAGCACTTTAATTTATAACTTATTCTGGCTTTAATTTGTGAAATGATGGAACATTTAGCTTGAAGATTAAGATCAACTTAAACAGTTTGTATATGAAATAAAAATGTTTAGTTAGAAATGTTTAAAGTCGATCGATCAACCGGATGTCTGTCTGTCATGAACCGCGCACTTCAGTTAGTTCCGTTTACAAATCGTTCCCTTTTATTTCAGGACGCTTTCTCTTTAGGGATATTTATCAAATTTGTGTGATATAACCCTGACAAAATGAACATTTTTATTTAGCTCATCCGTGTTATGTTTACTTAGGTTTATTTTGAAATACCATCTACGTGTCTATAAGAATGATAAGAGTGACATGATATCTTCTATTAGTTTGTCATTAAATGTGAGTCTGGACCACAAAACCAGTCATAAGGTCAATTTTTTGAAATTGAGATTTATACATCATCTGAAAGCTGAATAAATAAGTTTTCCATTGATAGGACAGGACAATATTTGGCCAAGATACAACTATTTGAAAATCTGGAATCTGAGGGTGCAAAAAATAGAAAATATTGAGAAAATCGCCTTTAAAGTTGTCCAAATGAAGTCCTTATCAATGCATATTTCTAATGATAATATATTTACGGTAGGAAATTTACAAAATATCTTCATGGAACATATAGGCTACTTAATATCCTAATGATTTTTGGCATAAGAGAAAAATCGATCATTTTGACCCATACAATGTATTTTTGGCTATTGCTACAAATATACCCGTGCTACTTGTTTACTGGTTTTGTGGTCCAGAATCACAAATATGTGTTTGTTTGCTGTTCGCCCAGGACTCACCGACAAGACGCGGAGCAACAGCCCAGACGCCCATGTGATGCATCATATATGCAGACCAACAATTGTTTTATTAAGCGTTTTAAGTAATATATACAGCAGACGGAACGGATGTCTGCACATTTGTAATAAGCAATGACGCTAACTGCTTTGCAAAAGGTTTCATTATGCATTTTGAGCTCGTCAAAATGTATTGGCCGAGAAATAGGGAAATCCACTCATGAAGAGTTCTTTAACGAGAAAGAACCGGTATAGTGGTGCTTTACTTTATTTTCTGTGCCATTACAGACAGTCTGTGTTGATCATAATCATTTTTGTTTGAGTTTATATTGCTTATATGATGTCTACCTTTCATACAAGGCCATATTAAGAGTGACAGTGAAGGATTTTGGACTTGACCAGGTTTCAAATTAAGAAATAAATGAAGCACCTACCCTTTTCACTTAACATCCCATTTTTGACCTTTGCATCATATTTAGCAATCATTTATCTTTCTTTCTTTCTTTCTTTCTTTCTTTCTTTCTTTCTTTCTTTCTTTCTTTCTTTCTTTCTTTCTTTCTTTCTTTCTTCAGTAGAATAACCCAGTGCTAGCTTGCACCCTCTGCACTTGTCATTCCCTCTAGCAGCCTGTTAACGAGGCTGGGTAGTGTGAAAAGGTAATTTATGTGTGACCTGGTCACAGGGATTGGATTAGGCCTGCGCTTGGCTTCTCTCAGGTTTGGACTGTCTCTCCAAAACTTTTTTTTTTCAGTTAATGTCACTACAGTGCATTTTATATATATCCTACCAGGACTAATTTCACAGCCTTTCCATTTAGGGATATACAAAGAAAATAGGGCATGTGTTAAAGCCTGAAACTGGGGAAAGTTCAAGCTGTACCTAATAATAACCGAGTAAATCATATGAGGTTGAGTTTTTGAATCTACCACAAGGGGGAAGCATGTACTTGGCAGTGGTGGTAGTCACAGAGCATGTTCCCCCCCACTTTTGAGCATCATTGGTTGTCTTTTTCATGTCCTATGGAAATGTAGCAGATTTGACTATCATCCTGTGAAAGTCCATCTGTTGTAAAACTTATAACTTTTTTCTTTTGCAAGAGAATCTTAATGCACCAGAATCGATTGAATAGTATATAATTTCATTAATTTGACTCTTAAACCTTTTTTATCACTCTGTC